GAACAATATATTACAAATTTATAATTTATACATTAATTTCCTCGTTCTTTTATCTTACCTTAAGTAGTTATTTTTTCTTCAATAGAGCTTGTGTGCATGACCACTCTAATCATATCTATTTATAAAATAAATAAATTTAGGAAACTAATTGATAAATTAAATACAAATTATATAATAATTTTATTAAAATTTTACATCAAAATACCTGTTATGATGTTATTTTCACAACAAATTTTCAAATATTCAAAGTTTATAAACTCAAATATACAGTAAAGAATTATGTTATCATCGTTTAATTCCTTAATAATAATTAGTGGCATAGAATTGCAAAATGAAAGAAATGTTTTTAACAGTAGCAAATCTATTTTTGTTCTTTGTCACTGAAAAATTTGTTATGAAGTATATTTTTTTTTACTTTAATATACCTTTAAACAAGTAAGAAATACCTCATACTATGGAAGCATGTATGTAATTGCTTTGTAGAAAAAATTAATCAATTAAAAAATTTAAAAATAAATTAAGTTAGTTAATTATTATACAACAATATATAAAAATAACACAATTATAATTTATTAAAAATAATAAATTTTTAATCAGAAAAATACAAATTCTAATAATTTTTATTAATTAGTACTGTATCAGTACTAATTAGCTCTTTTTTGTTATATATATTTAGTGTATTTCACAATGTTGATCTATTTATCTTTATTAAAACTTGTTATTCTCTACAAAAGTGTGAAAAACATAAAAGTAAATAATTACTTGTAATATATTAAAGAAAATAATGATCAATTTGATACAAATTAATCAGTTAAAAATAAAATTGAATACATGATTTAAATTATATTAAACTAATAATTTTGTAAGTGTAATTTTTTAATTCAAAATATATTTTAATGTTTGAAGTACATAATAAAATATAAATTATATTAAACTAATTTTTAAAATAATTTAAATTAATATCATTTAAATTTTAACATAACTTAAAGTAAATAAACAATGTTATTTTAATTAAAAGGTAACTCAACAAATTTATAAATATTTTTTCCTATTAATTATTTTTATTATGCAAAATATTATATCTTATTTTCACAATTTTAATTTTATTTTATATATAGTATTTTAATTTATAAAATTATCTTTTCATTAGAAATTTAATTTAACATATATAATATAAAATAATAATTTTGTAAGTGAAAATTTTTTAGTGCAAAAGTAAATTTTAGAATTTAAAATACATGTCAAACTATAGATTATTCTAAGCTAATTAATAAAATAATTTAAATATATACATTTGTCTATTCATCAGAAATTTAACTTAACAACATGCAATATAAACTACTATCTTTATAAACGTAGTTTTCTTTTAATTCAAAGTACATTTTAGTATTTGAAGTACAAATTAAAATATAGATTATATATATAGTATTTAATAAAATAATTTAAATTAATATCAATTAAAATGTTACTTAAGAAATTAATTGTGTTTTTTATTATTTAACTATTTTCGTTCATTAGGTATAATTTTACTTCACAATGAATTTTTTAAAATTTTTACATTTAAAAATTTAATAATTTTTTATCAAGTATCATGTCATTCACAACAATATTAATATAGCCATTTTTAATATAATATAACCATCATTTTTAATAAATTTTCCTTAATTACAATTTATCAATTATTATCATCATAATTATTAAATATAAAATATAAATAAAATATTATCTATATTAATAAGTTATACATAATTATGATATATCAATTTCTATTAAATTAGTTGTAAAAAAATAAAAATAATAGAAGAAGAGAAAAAAATAGTAGTTAAAATTTTTTTCAATTAAGATTTAGGTAGAAACTAAAAGAGAAAAATAATTTTATTTAATATAAATATTAATCTTTATATAAATTAAAATTATAGAAGTTGATATAATAAAAAGTTTAGGAGTCACATATAAAATCTAGGCAAATTTTATGTTAAAAATAAAGTCAATACATAATAATAATAATAAAATAAAAAAAAAGTAGGAGAAATGTATATAATAAGATAACAAAATTATTTTATAAAAAATTTAAATGTTTGATTATATTTTACTTTTTAAATTCTACATAATATTAAAAGTATTTATACAATATTGCAATAAAAATAGTTCAATTTTTTAAATCTTCTATTGTTGCCTTTTATTTTTCATTTTTTACTTCATCTTCTTCAAGTTGTAACCTAAAAAAAATATCAAATATAAATTACTGTATTATCTAAGAAATTTGAACAATACATTACAAATTTATAATTTATACATTAATTTCCTCTTTCTTTTTGGTTTGTTGTTTCCACAGTTAGAGATATAGGTTTGATACAATAATTTGTTGTTGAATTCAAATCATTAAGAAAAGTCCATTTATCTTCATTGCAACTTGTTGTTCTCTTACAAAAGCATGAAAAACAGTGATAAATTTGATACAAATTAATCAGTTAACAATAAATTCAATACATGATATCATTTAAAAAAATACATCTTTATGCTTACTTAAAAAATTAAATTGAATTATATAACACAATTTAGTGAAATAAAATAAAAAATATCAAACTCGAAAATGTACGTACTTACGTGGATAGGTAATTCTTGACCGCTGACATAATTGTAAAATACAAAGAAAAAGGATGACAATAGAAAGAACCGTGAGCAAGTTTTTAAAATTTGTGTAAACATGACTTATATAAGCAGAGATGAAGTCCTACTCAGTGATATATGAAAAGTCAGAAAATAAAAAATTAATATAATAAAAGTTATTTTTTCATTTGTATGATAGTTTACTTATCTTTTCATTGGAAATTTAATTTAATAATATATAATATAAAACAATAATTAACATTCAAATGTTAAATATAAATTAAAAACAAAAATACATTTTTATTTATAATAAAAAGATAAATCGAGAACTTCATGAAATATTTTTAAAAGTATTTTTCTACAATTTAATCAATATTTTTTTTTCTAATTTCAACATTTAACATAAAAAAATTTTGAAATTTCTTTAAATTATTTATAATAAATTATAATATTTTTTATTAAATATTATTTACAGTTATCAATTCTAATAATTTTTTCTTAAATACAATTCAAAAATAATAAGCAAATTATGCAAATTATAAAAATAATTTTAAATTATTTTATTTGATCTTAACAATATATAATATAAACTAATAATTAGATAAGTATAATTTATTTAATTTTAAAGTAGGTTTTAGTTTTTAAAATATATATTAAACTATATATTATATTAAAATAATTAATAAAATAATTTAAATTTGTAAACTTGTCTTTTCATTAGATATTTATTTTAACAATATATATTATAAGCTAATAATTTGATAAATGTAGTATTTTTAAACTAAATTACAATTTAGTAATGTTAGTAAATATTAAAATATAGATTATATTAAAATATTTAATAAAATAATTTAAACATGTAGAATTATATTTTCTTTAGAAATTTAATTTAACAATATATAATATAAACAAATAATTTTTTAAATGTGTATTTTTTATTTAAATTATATTTTAATATTTGAAGTACATATTGAAATGTAGATTATTTTAATGAGTTAATAAAATAATTTAAATATGTAAATTTGGTTTTTATTATAAATTTAATTTAACAATATATACTATAAACTAATAATTTTGTAAGTTTAATTTTTTTAATTCAAAATATATTTTAGTGTTTGAAATACATAATAAAATATAGATTATATTAAAATAAAATAATAATTTTAATTTGTAAATTATAGAAAATATTATAATTAATTTTAATAACGGTAATTTAAGTTAATTTATAGTATAAATATTTATGTTTCCATTTGTAACATAATATAACCATTAATACTAATAAATATTATTTAAATACAATTCAAACATAATAAGTGTGAATAAAATATAATTTTAATTCATAAGTTATACGTTTTGAATTTTAATGTATAAAGTAATAAGTAAGTGGAGTAAATGGAAATGACTCTATACATTCTGAGTTTTCATGTCTAGAGTAATAAGTAGATGAAGTTATATTAAACTATATATTATATTAAAATAATTAATAAAATAATTTAAATTTGTAAACTTGTCTTTTGATTAGATATTTATTTTAACAATATATATTATAAGCTAATAATTGGATAAATGTAGTATTTTTAAACTAAATTACAATTTAGTATTGTTAGTAAATATTAAAATATGGATTATATTAAAATATTTAATAAAATAAATTAAACATGTAGAATTATATTTTCTTTAGAAATTTAATTTAACAATATATAATATAAACAAATAATTTTATAAATGTGTATTTTTTATTCAAATTACATTTTAATATTTGAAGTTCAAATTACATTTTAATATTTGAAGTACATATTAAAATGTAGATTATTTTAATGAATTAATAAAATAATTTAAATATGTAAATTTATCTTTTATTATAAATTTAATTTAACAATATATACTATAAACTAATAATTTTGTAAGTTTAATTTTTTAATTCAAAATATATTTTAGTGTTTGAAGTACATAATAAAATATAGATTATATTAAAATAAAATAATAATTTTAATTCGTAAATTATAGAAAATATTATAATTAATTTTAATAACGGTAATTTAAGTTAATTTCTAGTATAAATATTTATAATAAGTGTGAATAAAATATAATTTTAATTCATAAGTTATACGTTTTAAATTTTAATGTACAGAGTAATAAGTAAATGGAGTCAATGGAAATGACTCTATACATTCTGAATTTTAATGTATAGAGTAACAAGTAGATAAAGTTACGTTTTAAAATTGAATACATTCAGTAATAAGTAGGTATACTCAATTTTACATAGATATATAGATATAGATAGGTTTAGCACAAAAGTTATAATTAATAGTTTTGGAATATATATGAATTTATGGCTAAACTTCAATTATTTATTTATTTGTTTACTATTTTATCATATAGTTTTGAAACTATGCCTTGATAAGATGATCATCAACATCTTTGGTGACTTTAGTCACAAATTCCAGGTAGGCATATGGAGGTTTAATATCTTCATTGACCTTCTCGAATTCGTAGGTCCATTTAGCGACAGCACTGCCATCACCCTGATCAATCACTTGTAAGTGAGCCTTTAAGATCTTGTACTGTTTTGCAACATCTCCATCATAAATGTTGAAAGTGAGTGATTTGTTTTGTGCATCAATCACCTCAATGCTTTCCTTACATGATGCTACCTTACCATCTGTTAGTTCATAAGCAATTAGCATCAATAAAAAAATGTGTGACGATTAATTGTAAAGAAAATTTGACCGATCTTTGATTTGCATAATTGATTAAAAGTAAAATCATTATTTTGTTCATTCAGAGACAAAAGTGACCAATTCTAACACTTTAAGGAGACAAAATGATTTACTAATAATTATTAACAGATAAATACCAACCTACAGTGTAAGTCCAGTGCTTAACAGAACCAACATCATGCCACTCTCCTTCATGCAGCTTGGTTTCATGCACAGTTTCAGTAATGTTTTGAATGTGGTGAAGTTGCTCCACAAAAATATTGAAGAACTTAGCAGCAGGGCTATGAATTTTAAGTTCAGTACTCACTTTACCAGTGAGAGCCATTTCTTGAGAACCAAACAGAGAAAATGGAGAGAGTGATTGTAAACAAAAAAGGACACGAAGAAGAGATGATAAACTCTGTGCACCCATAAAGAACCTTAAATAGAAATTCGATTTGCCACTATTGAAGACAACTGGCACAGCATAACAATTGTTTCTTTTTCGGTTCATACAAAAAAATTCGCTTTGAATTAAAGTTTGAAAATCTCGAAGCTTGTAACTGTCATTCTCCGTTTGATTCGACTAGTTTTTCAAACTGTCAAAATTTTAAATTAAAGAATGATAAATAAAATAGATATTGTAATGTAGAGATATAGGAAAAATAAATAAATCATAAAAAATTTGTAAATATAAATTATAAGAATATAGTTACCCTTATTACTTCATGAAAATTAAAATTCAATAACATATATATCTAGTAAATTTCCCATCTACTACATGGGTATTATTAAATAAATTAAAATATAATTTTAAATAAAATATTTAATTTTTAATAAACATTATTATATTTACGAAATTTTATAATATTAAAATTATTTTAATTATTTAACACTAATTATTCATTATATTAAATAATAATAAATTAAAATATTGAATTATTGAAATTACAAAAAATATGAAAAATTAAAATATAAAGTTTAAAAAATTCAAATTACAAGTAGATATACGTACATGTAAAATAAAATACGTAATTATAAGAATTTCAACTGTTATTTTTTAATTATTATTTATAATTAACTTTACACCTTTTTCTCCAGAACAACACTCTAGAGAATATTTAATTTTTATCTTTTCAAATTTTCCAAATAATTTTTAATATTTTATTAAACAAAATGATCAAAATATAAATTTTATGATTACATAAATTATTATATCATATAGTAAAAGATAATAATACAATTTTATAAAAGTAAAATGTTATATCATCGCTAAGATTATATATATTTTTTACTTCAATGGGTTAAAAAATATTGTTATTATAATAAAATAACTTAAAATAATTTAAAATTAACTATATTAATATAATATAAAAACTAAAATTCTTATCATTATTACAAATTATTTTACTCTAATCATAATATACTGTTAAAAAATAATTTTGTCATACAATTATATCATAAATATAATTTTTTTTTGTAATTTAGAAAAAAAAAAGTGTTGAAAACAACAAAAATTTATAAATATATTTTTTAAACACGTAACGATAAATAATATCATCTAATATATCTAAAGAGTTTTAAATAATTAAAGTTGTAAGGAAAAGAAAATATTCTGAAGGAGGATAATTTTGTTTTTAATCAGCTTTTCTAATCTTTTGTTTGGAAGATAAGGAATGAAGTTAAAATAGATATAAAAATATGTACAAATACAAAAATACAAAATCAACTATAAAAACATGTATAGATACAAAAATATAAAATCAATAATTTTAAGTGTTTTTTTTTTTTTACTTTAGAATATTAAAAACTTTTTTTATTTTTTAGTTTAATTATCGTATGTTAGTTGTTAGGTATTGAATATTTGAGTAAATATAATTCGAAATATAGAACATCAATTTAGTGTTGAATTATTTATCACCTAACAATAATAGAATTTCAAAATTCAAATAAAAATACTTATAAAAATTAATAATAAAAAATAGATTAATAAATTAGAAATGCCATGTGATTGATATTTAATAGAAACATATGATATTCATCGTTAAGACCTTAATCAAAATATTTTAAATTATGAGCTTAATTTAAAATGTCCAAAAACTATAGGGATTAACATATTAATTTAATTTTAAATTTTAAAGTGCATAAATTGACTTTAATTAAAAAAAAATATTTTTATTACCTTTTAGAAACATTTATCTTCAAAAAAACTCAAACTGAGTGAAAGATTTCTTTAGGGTAGATTTTATGTTTTCTAACTAAAAACATGCGGTGCCCGAAACAATAATTTGAGAAGAAGGATTATTATTTTGAAAATTATGGTTATCAGATTCTTGCCCCCTTTGCCCACAAACTATTCATCGCGTTTCTTCTTCTTTCTACATCTATCATAAGTAGCTGTTAACTCATTTGTTAGCTTTCATTAATTTATTAGTTAGTTGACAGAACTATATATGTTGTTAGATCCTTATTAATTAGTGTCACGAAGTAGTTAGCTTGTCAATTAAATTATCAAATCTATTATCATATATATATATATATATATATATATATATAGTTAAAGGATGAGATTTGTAAAATTAAGAAAGTAAATTGAAAATTGAAAATTTAATTCAAAATTGAATAAAAATAAAATATTAAATGCAAGAAAAATTACGTGACGTAACTAAGAAGGAAATAATAGTTAATAAATAATGCTTTCACTTAAGATAATTTTATATATCAATCTCTATGTAGAATTTGTTAATATGAATTCTTAAACAAAAGCATTTTCAAATTAAAAAAATAGATATTAGTTCATTCCTCATCATGTTAATTAATTAAATGAAATAACTTATATTTAATAAAATATTAGAACTGTACTTACAAATGTACAACATGCATATATCTAAAGCGCATATGGCTAATTTTAGAGTGTAGATAAGAAAATCACGTTACCGTCCAACTAATATATTAAAATATTATATAACACATACGTAGAGTTGAATCAAATACTCAAAATTTATCTATTCTCTGAAATTAAAATTTATAATTTTTTTTGGTATTAAAATTTATAAATTTTAAAATGAGTAAATGTTATAGTTAATAATAAAATATTATATTACATTAAAAATAATTAAAGAGATTTGTATTTAATTTTAAAAATAAATTATGTGAAATAAAATAATAAATCTTTAATGTAGAAAAAATATTTGCATCACGAAAAAGAGAACTAATTTCTAAAAGCACCCTTTTTTGAAAAAATAAAACTCTTAAAATGTCTATCATTTAAAAAATAGTAATAACAAATTACTTATAAAGGTTAAAGTTTGATCGGACTAGAATAACGTGACAATAAAAAAATTAAAGAAAATAGAGAGAGAAAAAAGAGAAAAAAAAAATGTTAACATAAAAGTATATATAAAAAAGTTTTGATACAGATTTTGATTTAAGGGCTAATACATTGAAGAGGAAGGAATCAACGTGGATCTATATACTTAATCTATGTCTTCATGGTTATCTTTAATCTATATATTCAACCTCTTATTAATTCACTTTTATCCCTCGCGATTACTTTTTCTTTCTCAATTGTACATTTTTAACTTCATTCCTTCGATTCATCGTCATTGTTCTTTTTCTACATACTATCTGCTAAGGTATTTTAGGTTGTTATTATTGAGGTAAGACATGGGTCGTTTCATCGTTTCAAACCAATGAGTTTAAGTTTTATTGTTTCAAACCTCTCATAGTTTTTCAGGGTGAGTTCCAAATCTATTGTTGAGTTTTAAAAACTTTGTTTGTCAAGGGTTCACATCAACTTTCTTTTAATTCAAGAATAAGCTATGTACTAGTTCATTGTGGGTGTGAGTGTTAAAAACTAAGTATGGTAAATTAACTTCTTCTATTCAGCATTTATCAATACGCAACAAATGTTCATTATGGTGATATGATTTGTTGGAGGTTATTCATCAAGAGAATTCATGACTAGATGAGAAGTTGGATAGGAGTGTGGGTGCAGGTTTGCACACCCTTTCTTAGAGAGATAAATGAGTAGGTAAGGTGTGATTATGTGAGGTATTTTCGTAATTGTTTGTAGTGGCAAAGAATGGTGATAAGTTCATATTTTGATATATTTTATAACTTATATTTATACACTTAAACTCTATTTTATAAATATTTACACTAATTATGTTATATATTAATTATTATAGTTTAGTTGGAAGTTGTTATTAGTGCATTATAGAGATATTATGGATAAAAATTATATATTTTTAATTCTTGGCATTGCTATGTAAAGTTGAGTTTGAATTTTGAATTTAAAATTTAAACTTAGATATGAAAATTTGGAGCGATTTTGATTATGTATAAAACTAATTTAAAAAGATAGAGTTCAACCGACTGAAAAATCAAGTCATAGCCTATATAAAGAGGCTTTACACTTCACACTTGAGATACTTCCACTTCTCTACACACCTTTATCCCCTTCTTAGTTCTAACTAAACTCATCTTTGAGAGTCATTGGAGACTATTGGCAAGGATAACAAGTTTTTTCTTGGAGTCCAAGTAAGTGATTGAGCGCCCTTCGGAGAACAAGAACTCTCTTCGTCTTTTACCTTTTTGGATTTCTTTTGTTTGAATTTTTCTTTGTGGTTATGAGTTTATTTATCACGTTCTTCGTAGTTTATTTTGTTGTACGTAACTAAACCTATAGCTAGGGCTATGGCAGATTCTACTACTTTACTTTAATGTTTAATATTGGTTTTTCTTTAATGTTTAGTTTTTATTCTATTGGATTATGTTGTGTATGTTAAGATTTGATCACCCTTAGCATGCCATAGTTAGTTGCATTATAGGCGATCATACCACGTGTAATTAATGGAACTATAGGATAAAACGAGATAAAAGCTAGGTTAATCACACTTAATTCCTTTCTTTCAGCCGTTATTGAATTAACAAACTCATAGGATCTTCATGTTTTCTCGACCAATTACCTTGCATAATCATTGGAGATGTTTACTCAGGGAAAAGAATATTGACATTGCATAATCATTGAGTGTTAATAGAATTAATTATAAGTGATTGGCAAATATTTAGATACCAATATCAGGATTAAATTAATTAGAAAAAATATTTTGATATATTTTTGCCGTATATGAATCGCTTACATATTCCTCTAAATTATATGTATATGCAGGAGTAATTTGGAAAAACAGTAGAAACATACAAGAACAAACTATTTTTATTGAAAACATTCCTCTAATGAATTCCTTGGAAACTTTTATAGTAAATGGAATATACAGGATTGTAATCAATCAAATATTGCAAAGCCCTGATATCTATTACCGATCAAAATTGGATCACAACAGAAAATATCCACAAATTTTAATGGGAATGGGTGTGGGTATGAGTACTTAAA